AGAGAGACATACTAACTGTTCCGACAGGTCCATAATCAATCAGGTTGTAAACCAGTGAGTTCTGTTCCCTCACAGCTTGGATACACGCAGGATATGAGGCTGCTTAGCTAATGACCAGAGAGTGGCTAGCATAGACTAAGGGGTGGGGTGGGAGGGAAAGATGAGACCTGCCCAACCCCACCTCCTTGAAGAACCTCTGCCTTAGGAGACAAGGAAGGTAACACAGGATGGAGAATGCACAGTGTTCAGACTTCATCATCAAATAGGTAATATTTTAAGTTGATAATTTGGAATATACAGTAAGATATGGTGGAATGATAGCTGTTATTTTAGGCCCCTCAAAATCTAAATGGACCGATTTCTGTTTCCATTACGAAAGCACTTTTGGATAACTCCTTTTATATAGTCATGGGAGGATTAAAAGAGTCAGTACTTATTGTTATTACTATTACCATGTTACTACTGAATAAAAACTTTAGTAAATGTGCAATAGTATAATGGTTCCTCTTCTTAGCAACTGCCTCTGTAAGAGGTCTTGAATTCGTAAGTCACAAAAAATAATTATCAACAAACAATTCAAATACATTAAATAATAACAATTACAGTTATAACAACTATTGTTTATCTGGATGATAGTCCTGGCATCTTTCTCCCATTTTAAGAAATACCAAACATTTGATTCCTCAGGTAGCAAGGCTAATGCATTTTTGGACTTTGCAAGATCTTTACCCTGTGAAGCCTAGGTTTTACTCACATTGGTCACCACAGCCAGAATTGCTATTCCTTGCATGATGGGCTGCCACGCTCCGATGTCTTGGGCTTTCTCTGGCACCATGCGTCTATACTGGGTGGTCATTTTCCACGCGTCCACTCTTATTTCCAGTATATTGTTCACCAGAGCCAACAGAGGGGCCAGTGGAAAAGAGGCCACAAATAAGGTGACGAACCCAAACTGAATAACTGTCAATGGAATGGACACACATCATGGAGTGGTGATGATGGAAGGGCAACATGTTTTCCTTTACTCTTATAAAGAAAGAGAAAGGCAAACAACAAACTAAACCCCAAAGAGAACAGACATCCATGGTAATAATAGTGTTCAACAGTGACAGAATCCAAACAAAACACAAATATGAGGTCTTTGGGGAAAAAGACAAATTACAGCCTGTTTCTGACACATATATACATATACTTAATAGGAATATTATTATTTAAAAATCTTTAATCAACCAAAGCTATTTGCTGGTAAATAATCTTGGGATGCTCTTAGCATATTTTCCATTCTCAGTGTTGAAATAATAGAAATGTTGGAAGATGATTCGAGATTCAGGATTTAAAAAAAAAAATACTGTGGCAGTATCTAACAAGTTAAGAGACATGCACCTTTGGGAAGACTATGCTTAGAGAATGTTGGAGGAAATATGCTGAAAATAGGCAAATGGGCAAGCTCCCCGAGTCTGCGAATGCAAGCGCAGTGCATTCAGAGAATTTGTGATAATATCGCAAATCACAGAAAGGTATGTGATATGACTTACTAAGTCAAAATATAATCCTATAGGAAATTTTATCTTGAAGTTGTTGTAGTCTGTGGTCACAGTAAGTCAAGATTCAGGTGGTGGCTGAGAAGTGCTTTTCTCCTTGTCTGTAATTTACACAGCATATGCTATATATACACTATACTATAGTGTACTTTTCAGTTTTAGACCCCTCCCTCCTAAATGGCACACCTTTAAAGTAAACTAGTACAGGTAATGTAATGAAGACTGCAGATGAACGGAAAACGTACTGCCCCTTTAGGGCTACTGCCCAGACAAGGGGAGGGACCACGCTGGCCAGGAAGGGTGATACTGTGGACGGGTGGCAAGGTAGGAGAAGCTGGTATGTGCTTCTGGTCTGAGAGGCCAGGCTGTGTTACAGAAGAGCAGATAGGGCAGGAAAGGTCTGGCAGGTCCCCAGGCCAGGCAGGAATAGTCCTATTCAGGGAAATCAGAGAGGCAAGGACCACAGTTGGTGACGTCATAAAGTCAGCAGCATGGCAGTGATGTCAACATCTGTGTCTATGACTCCTCTAATCCTAAATGAACTTATCCACCTATAGGGGCCAGGCAAGTAATAGGAATGAACAGAATGGGTGCAGTTAACTGTAAACTGGTAAAATGGCAAGTACATGTCCTAATGGAGGGAACCACTCACAGCTGCCATGTTGGAATGAAGGCCCAAATGTTGCCAAATTTCATTATTCAAGAGAAGCCAGAAATTCGGACTATATTAGCAATAAACTCAGTTAAAAAACCTCAAAAAAGAAAATACACCATTTAGAATGATAGCAAAAGCACAGACTATTAAGAAATACATTAGTGAGAAATGTTAAGACATGATAATTGATTTAAAAAATAAAGTAAAACTAATAATAATAAGTGAATGGTAGATTGTCCCATACTTTTAATTGACCAGCTCATTTGGAGACACAACAAATTTTTTCTCCAAAATATAATTTAGAATTTGAATGTAAATTTAGTTTACAATCCCAAATGGATTTCAGAAAAAGAGCTGAAAGGTGATGCTAAAATTCATGAAATATACACAAGTACCCAAGTGAAATAATGAGAAGGGACGTTTGAACTTATAGTATTAGGGGCATTCTAAAAAACAATAAAATGGGGCCAGTTCTAGGAACTACTAATGTATATTATAATGCTATGGTAACTAAAACAGTTTAGAACAGGTGCGATATTAATAGCATGAATTAAACAGAACAGATGCAGATATTCAGGTTTTAGATGCAGGTTTTAATATATTATAAAAGTCATACTTCAAATCAGTAGATTCAAGTATTGGATCATTTAGCTGAATCATTGGGAAAACTGTTATGGAGTCCTCACTTTTGACACCAAAATATATTCCAGATGGTATAATCTGTTCTGATATTCAAGTGAGAAGGACTTTCAACAACTTTTGAAACCAAGAACAGAAAGAAAGGAAAGCAAGAAAGCAAAGACCTATCAATTCAGCAAGGCAAAAATTTACACCCATTGGAAAAATAAAAATAACGTGCCTGGAACTTTTTTATGACCCTATACTGCTGATACTTTGCACGCTTTCTTTTTCACTGTAAAGTGCAGTTTCTTGAAGAAGTGCCTAGATTGTTTCTTCACCATTCATTCCCACCTGAAAGCGCTCTATCCCGCTGTAGCCCTCACCACTGCACTGAAACAAAGCTGGTTGCTAACTTTGCAGGTGGCTGCATATTCCAAAGCCACTGTGCGTTTCAGCCCTTATTTAGCTGATCACCAGGCAGCTTTTGATATGGCCAAACAATCTACTGCCTGTGGAAAGCTCCCCCTGCCCCTTGATTTTTGTTTTTACTTAATTAAAAAAAAGAAAAAAGAAAGCCAAGCTGTGTGTGTATCTGTGTGTGTATGTATTGCGTATGTATATATCTGTATTCACACTTTTTTTAAGACTACCTAGCTATAGTGCTTTTTTCCCTTTGGGAAAGACCATGCTGCAAAGACGAGGAAACGTCCATGCAGGTGGTGGACAGAAAGAGCAGCGATGGGGGGTTGGGGAAGACAGGACTGAGTCCTGGGACAGTGTGTGTGTGTGTGGGGAGGGTATGTGTAGCACTGAAGAGAGAGGAAAAGCGGTGGGTGCAAGGAGATGTTGAACAACAGTTGCTATTGCAGTAAATAAAATGGAGAAAATAATAAGAGTCATTGTTTTAGTAGATTTTTAACATGGCAGGGGTGGAAGAGGCAGTACCAGAGAAAAACGGGGCCCACTTCATCACTTCCCTGAATTTCATTTATGGCACCTCCCCACTGGGAAGGCATCACCATGTTCCTGAGAGACTGGTGTCTGTGCTGTGCTCGAAACACAAAGCGGCAATTCAGGACTTCCAGATTGAAGAGTGACGGACGATTTCTCTTATGTCCCCGTGTCTCAGTTCTCAGAAGTCAGGACCATACACTCGGGGAGGCAATTTTGGTTAACAATCTGGGTTCCTCTAATAATCTCAAAGGAGGGTGGGGAATTTACTAAATAAAATTAAAAAGAAATTTGACTCAGAGACACTCCCCCCCCCCAAAAAAAAACAAACCAACATATGCCATCCAGAACTCGGTGGGGGTGGCTGGGGCACTGTTAACGGCAGCTCAGCTAACAGTTGTATGTGTGTGTTGAAACTCCAAGCTCCAGTCACTTAGATAAATATTTATGAGGACTAGGTCCAGGCAGTGGTGCTCCAGCTGAGGACGGGAAAATGCAAAGGCCTTGTTAGCTCCCTCCGACAGGAACCGTCTAGCCAGGGAGAGAGACAAGCACAGGATCACATGCCATTAAGACAGGAATCAAGTTAACGCCTGGAGAAAAAAGCAGCTCTTCTGGATGAAAAGCTGAGGGTCACTGCTGAGGCCTGGCAGGAGTTCCGCAGACACCCAGGAAGAGAAAGGTATTTCAGGCCAAGGGGGACGGAGCTGGTGGGCAGGCACAAGGCCTAAGGAAGGGTGGCGGGTTTGTCAAAAGGTATTTCCCTTCGTAATTAAAGGTAGATGGTGGTCATCAATGGATACGGGGAAACGAAAAGGAGGAAGAAACTGTGTGGTGATGACACCAGCACCAAAGGAACTCGCTATTTATTTTAGCGGAACAAAAATAATTCGATAGGCACTTGGAAATTCTATCTCCCACAAACTAAAAGAACAAAAAATAGATTTCACTCGGGTGCTGCATACAGAATAAGACTTCCTGCGCTCAGAAATTAATTTTCCTATTCCATTAGGCATTATTTGGATAATAGGAAAACAATTTAATAAATCTAAAAAATTCTGTAACAGTTGTTATTCCATCTTTTCTTGGAGGGTAGGTTAGGGCAAGGCCAAATTACTTAGTTGGTAATTATTTTAATGAGACTAAAAAACTCTAAAAGTCCTCTTTTCCTCTCAATGTCATTCATTTGACTAATTGACCACAGAAAACAACTTTTTTTCAAGTTTTTTGGGGGTGCTAAAATAAATTATTTCTGCCCCCAAAATGTTATTAATAATGCTGATAATAGCTGCATAAGAAATATTTGTAATTATGACTTATTTTAAGATAACTGATAATTGCCTTGTAGTCCTTTTGAAGACAAACAGAATAAATAAGTATATTTTCTCCATTATGTATGGCAGCTACACCCTTAATCCAACATGATCACAAAGCATAACAAAAGCAAAAATGAAATTTGAATCAGACTCCAGGCTGCAAAGCATTGTTGGCTAAAGAAGCTGCAAGATGAACTTTTCACTCACTGAAGGAAGCAGATGTGCTTCCATGTATAACGTATATTTTTAAAAGCAATTATTTTATATATAGAATGTGATTTAATAAAAACCGCGCTCTCTCTCTGCAGACTTGTAAGCAGGAACCACAAAGGGGTGTCTTTACAAACATAAACTCCCTAAGCATAAGCGCAAGGCTGTCAACCAAAATGTTGTGCCTCCTTTCTATTCTCCTAAGCTTCAAAAAAATTGTAATTCAATGCAATGGTTAGCTGAAAGGGCACAGATACAAAACATCTATTACATATAAGCATGTCATGCATAATAGAAAAGGTGGTGTTTCCTATGGAAATCTATTTTGAGATGCATCCATTTAAAGGCAACTGAGAGCTCAAAATCAAGTTCCACTGATGAGAGACAGAGCCCAAGCAAATGATACACAAATGGACAAAAACATTCAAGAAGGAGTCCTGTGCTAAATCTTAATTCCAGGCCAGCAAAATGGTTCTGAATTCAAGCCAGTGCTTAGCCCTGAGGTCACTCAAGGAACCAGGCAGAAACCACGGGCCAGAAGGAATAGATACACTGTCAAAGGCAGTGTGAGGTGTGAAGGGGAGGCGGGTGCTATGATCACTCCTGCGACAAGAAGCAACACGCTCCTACAGGCTTTCTGTACCAGCTTGCTGAAATGACTCGGTTCAGAAGTGTATCAGCCAACAGCTGTTCCTGCATGGACTCCAGCTCAAGCTGAATCACATCTAATAATAGTTCTGAGTTCATTCTCAGGCAACATGGTTAGAAGGCTCTGAGAATTAATGGTGAAGATGTACCTCAGTGACTATTCCATTTTGTTGGTAATAAATCTTTAGCTTTGCGCAACATAAATACTGACAAAGATACACAGTCACCTTATTTGAAAGCCTGACTATAATTTTATCTAGTGGAAAAAAACATGCTCCTTTTCATGTCAATATGCTAAATAATTATGTGGCTTGAGAATCCATACTTCTGGGATCCAAAACATGCTCCACTACAATTTATAGCACCTAGAACTTGACTAATGACTTACTCATTTCAAGATATTCGTAAAACAATCCCAGTCTGCCCATGAGCTGCAGATGGTAGTCCTGTTCCCATCGTGGGGTTATCTTCTCTGAGCCCGAAACTGTGTGACAGCGTCCAATTAGATTCTTGATCCAGCTGCCAAAGAGATCAAATTATAAATTAGGACATTATCAGGCCAAGGTCATGAAAGTGATATCTCAGGCAGAATACATCATCTTCCCAATAAATTAATTTTTTAATTTTCACACCAAATCTCTCATTGCTGCCTCCCTAGTCAAAAATATTTTAAAAAATAGTATTGACTGTGTACCTCGGTTTATCAAAATCATAACTGCTATTTTTTCTCTTACCTCCTTTTCATGTGGGCAGTTTAGTTTTTAAAAGACACTGTCCCTCATTTGATTAACTTTATTATTATTATTTTTTTCATCTCCGTGCTATTATCCAAAATAGGCTTTGCAGTATGGAAATCACCGAATACAGACATAGCATGTGAGCTGGTAGTGAGTGCTGTGGAGAAAAATAAAGTGGGACAAGAGGTGGAGAATGTTTGCCTTTGTGGGAGGGAGGAGAGGGAATGATGGCAGGGAGGCCTCAGTAAGAGTGACATTTGAACAGGTATGCAGGGGGCAAAGGGGCAGAGGGAACAGTGAGAACAGAGACCCGGAAGCAGGAGCAGGCCTCCCGCGTGTGATGGACAGTATGGGGGCTGGTGGTCCAGGGCTAGCAGGAGACGAGTCTGGGGTCAGGGGGTGATGAAGAGACCAGTGTGTGGATTTGGGCATTTTTTACTCTGAGGAGATTGAGGAGCCATTGAGGGGCACTGAGAGAAAAGTGACATACTGTGACATTAGATAAAACAGGTCTAAGACCCTATTTTAACCTGAACAGATCAAGGACCAGAGACGTGAAACATTTTCTCAAAGTCACAGTGCAGAGCTGTGAGAAAAAAACAGCCTCGGCTGGTGGCCTAGGGCTTCTACCCGCGACTGGATACTGTCCCCACAGAGCTGTCTTTTGTCTCTTTTTATATGTTATGTTTTTCTCTTTCTCAAAGCCTGTGGCCCAGATAAATGCTTTCCCCTTTTTTTATGGCAAATTTTCCTGAAAAGAAGCAGGAGTTGGCAGTGAAGTGAGGGGTGCACCTATAGCAGAGAGAGCCGTTGTTCCCCGAGAGCAACAGCTGGCTTGTGGTTGACTTGTGGAGCTCATCAGAAAAGGCACAACAAACAACTTCAAAAATGGATATAAACATCTAAGCTTCAGCTGATTAAAGAACTTATTTGTATGGATTTCAAATTCGGACAAGGAGGCTTCACACTACCGTAAAGGCGGTTGTATACACTGCATGTACACACACACACACACACACACACACACACACACACACACACACACACACACACGGTGTAAGATATAGATTACAAACAGCTTACCATGCTGCGTTTTCCACTGCTACTAACGTCAGCATTAACTTTTCACTGACCACTCCCAGAAGTTTACTAAAGGGAGGTTTCTCTACCTCAGAACATGCCCCAGGCTTCATCACCTTTCCCCACTTCTGTGGAATGTGGAGGGGATATGGACTCAGACACCCCAGAATCCACCCTTCTTTGCTTATACACTATTTAACTTTGGTTGGTCAAGTTCAAACAAAACAGGGTTGCTATCAGGATTAAATGATTCAAAGGATATTTGTATGGGATCTTCTTTTGACCAATGCAGGTTTACTGGCTGAGGCCAATTGTAAATACAGGCTAAAGTACTTGAGTCTTGACTGGGGACACAATGCCATCTGGATGGGTGGATCTCACGGCAGCACTTGTAAGAACAGGCAACATTAGTGCTAATTCCTATGGTCCAACCCAAAGCTCTGTAATCAGTCAAGTCTGGGGATCTGCAGTTTTACAGACATTCCAGGGGCCGTGTGATGCAGGTGGCACCGAGGACCACACATGTCCATCACCCTTCGTAATGCCCACACTCGAGAATACTGGTTTCTATTGGTTCACTTTTTGCTCCGCCTCATACTTCCAGCCTCAGCCTCTTGCTGAATCCTCTCCATGACCCACAAAAGCAGGTCTTTTACTATTAGTGGGGCCCCAAATCTATCACAATTTGGAGTCAGGATGACACTTCTGTGCTGGCAGCCACTTGCATGACTAATCTGGCATTTTCCTCTTGTACTGTACTGCCTGCCCTCACCCATAATAGGTCATATTAAAAGTCTTTCTGAATAGCTTTCTGTTCTGAGATACAGTCTCTGAGCCTCCTGTTTAGTCTTTCTCAGTTGAACCACTCCTCTGTAGAAGGAAATCTTGGGTCGCAGTTCATCCATTATTGTCCTTGATCTTCTGGGTTTTCTACTGGGTTGCGATTCTAGTGCAGGGATATCAATCTTGACTGCACATGAGAATCACCTAGAGATTTTTTAAAAAATACAGACACCAGACCCTTCAACCCCTGGCCAGCATGGGAAGCTTCCTCCTACTATCAGGGGCTACAAAATACTTTCCTTAGAAATTTACCATGCGTATAAGCATAACAGCATCATAATAAGTTGCCCTTTATGAAAGCATGATGTGAAGTACTTTATACCTCATTTTCTCTTTGTATCTTCATTATCATCACTAATCCCCATACTACAGATAATCACCGTTTCTGTTTAGGACATGCTACAGTATTCCCACTGGCTAATTTTGAATACAAGCATCCTATTTCATTCCTGAGTTTACTGTTCCTGAATTTAAAAAGTGAGTGTGGATAGTGAGGGATACCTGTATTTAGAATTCTCTTATTTCAGGTCTTTGGTTCATACTCTAGCCAAATCATGTAAGAGAAAATATCCCTTCTCAAGATAACAGTTCAATTTTCTCATTATATAAGTAGTGCATACCCATTGTGGAAAATAGAGAAGACATATAAGGGAAGGAAATTACAGCCATCCATTATCTAAACACTAAACGATGTTGCTATTGGCATTCTGGATATTTAACTCCATTTCTTTAACATTTTATCATAAAAATTTCTCCAGAGTGAGTTGCATAATGCAGGAATCTTACTAGCCTTTTGTCAAGTATAAAATTCCCAGCGATGCCTCAAATATCAAAATACTAAGTGAGGCTAGGAAGGCCAAAGACCTCTGAGCTTGTTTTCTGGGTCCAACGAACAATTCTATTAGTTTACCGATGTTATGTATTTGAAACATATGAGTAACTCATGCACTCAGTTGGTGCTGAGAGAGCCTACCAAATGCCAAGTACTGATCTAGGCGCTGGAGAAACCCCGAAGCGAACCTGATGACAGTGTTAGATATGCTTCTTCATTTTCTCCAAGAATCCTAGCCAAGGACCCCAAGTGGGGTTAAGGGTGGAGGAAGGTAAGTTTATGGTGGAATTCATTTCACTTTGTCTTTTTCTGATATATTTAAATGGCATGAAAACAGCTGCTGACTTATAAGGCTTTTCTCTCCCTTCCTGTGTGTTTTTGGGATGGGAGTACTTTTGGGTAGCAAGAGTAACTAAGATATCTTTGGTATGTTAGGATTTTTGTATGAAAAGGCATGAAAACAGCTGCTGACTTACAAGGCTTTTCTCCCCCTCCCTATGTATTTTTGGGATGGATGTATTATGCTTTTGGGTAGCGAGAGTAACTAATATATCCTTGGTATGTTAGGATTTCGTATGAAAAAAGTTAGAAGGAAACTGGCACCTATACACACAGATGAAGCATTGATGAGAAGAGCCCAAGTCACGCTCTAATTTGGCTAACACTTGGCATTCCTAGTTTTCAAACAAAGGAAAGATAATTCAAAACATACTGCCTAAATATTTTAGGTGAAGAGTAGAAATATCGGAAGGCACAGTTCGGGTCACTGTAATTTGCAACAATGGGTTTACCTGAAGTGACGGCATAAGCATGGATACACTTACACTGGTGGTTGGACCATCTTACCTGGAGACTTTTAATAAACATAGAGTAGTCTACTTTATTTTAGAGGTGGGCATGCAGCTATGTGGACATGAAGGGAAATGACTTGGATGGGTGGGCTGTGCTATCCCGTCCTATCCCCAAGATTACACAACTTAATACTCACGGAAGTAACACCTCTTGTATGTTATTCCAGATTGCTTTTCCTCCCATGATTATTGTCAGCTGTGTCGTTAGTTCAAGGAGACAGCCACCTGGGTCACACTGGAATATTAAAAAGAAAATCTCATTTAAATGTTAGATAGGTCTAACATGAAAGAGTCCTTAATTTCATTTGTTTCTGATGTTCTGTTTAGGATAAAAAAAATCGAAGAATGTACAATGAAAAAACTGTTCGCTGAGCAACTGAGAGAAAACACAAAGCAGCTTAAATTGTCAAAAGAATATAATTCTATAGTCATACCTCTTCGTTTCTGTATTTTCCCAGCCAATAAACAGGATCTCCTGGATAACCTACAAATTTTCCCTTAAAGAATGCAATGTAGAAACACGAAGAGTAGTAGTTGACAAACTGGAATAAGAACATCTTCATGGTTAGGCTATTCTCATAATCAGTCTGGGTCCTTGGGAGTTCTGTAGGTAAAGCAAAGGAAAGTAAGCCTTTAAAATTGTGAACAGCTTTGAGACCCTAATCAAAGACACAGATAAATGAGTTAACATGTTTAAAAAAAAATACAATTCACACTGTTTCCATTAAAGCTGTTTTGAATTCCTTAATATAGCTACTTGTGTTAATTCAAGTTTACACATTGTTATAAGAGTTTCGCCCCCATAAAGACAATATCCCACAGGGCAAAAAATATTCAACTGTTCCTTAACATTTACAAGCACAACGTTACCAAATGGGTAGGAACTGTCTTTTCTTAGGTCTAAGTAGACAGAGCATTTTTTTTTTTTTGAACAGCATGCTAAATGATATTCTCTTGTCTTCCTGACAATAAGGTTGGTGTTAAAGAAAGCAAACAAAACCAAGGGTCCACTTGCTAGAAGCATTTGGGGGAGACCAAGCAGGTCATCCCTCCTAGTTGAGAATTTAAATCGGGCTGACCATTCTCAGATGATAACCGAGCACACCAATCAGAGAGTGACCCAGGCATATGTGGCATATGGGAAGCACTTAACTTTGGACACAAAGCAGTTGCCTGGGATACAAGCCAGAGAGAAGAAACATTTATTACAAAAGCCAGAGCTGATGAGAATGGAGCTATATTAATATGAACAGAACGGGAAAAGACACGTAACAGTGTGATTGCTTGTCCTCTCAGCAACAGAGGAGCATATCTGCCACTGGAACCATGACCCTATTCCACTTATTTGCAATAAAGAGACTATTTACTTTCAACAATAGGGTACATGATCTAATGTAATTGAAAATATTATTCAGCACTGATCTGTTTACACACAGTTCGGATATTATAATGACTGTCTTTGCTTTGTCCCTTTTAATAATGCAAAGCTGTAGATAATTCATTTCCAGTATAGCCTAGAGAAAATATGTTTATACTTGAAATTTTCTAAAAGTTGTAACATAACTGGAATTGATATGCCTAAAAGATAACAGTCTCTATTTTAACCAGGTTCTAAAAATGTCTTAGAAATGACCTAAGTGATGGTAGGAACTTACCAAAATTAGTAATCATGATTGCCACTTTTTCATAGATGATGTTCAAAATCATGATGATGACAAAGCTGATGAGGGAAGCAGTTACGGACGTGGCTGTATGGGGCGTCAGATACTTCTGGATTGGGTCTGTTCCATTAATGTTCTTGGGCAGTTTTGCAGAAAACACAATGAACACTGATAGCCTGTAGACAATGATCCCAATAACTGAAGCGATGATCAGCAGGATCTGAAAACACAAACACAGCAGCATGAGACTCGCCAACAATCATATTTGCACACTGAAAAATTGGCCGCACGCTTACATGGGCAAGGTGCATGTGTGAAGTGATGTTAAATCCCACATACCGGCCACAAGAGAAGGTGGAAATCGAGCACGTTAAATTTCAAAGACAGGGAAAGGAATGAAGACAAAAGAGAATGCATCCACTAAAGTAAGATGCTAACAGTAAGAGAAGCTGTGTGCAGGCTATATGGGGACTCTACTTTCTGTGCAATTTTTCTATAAACCTAAAACTGCTTCAAAAAAAGGTCTATTAAAAGGGTGGGGGGAGAGGCACGGTTGGTTCAGGTGGTTAGAGCGCAGGCTCTTAACACCAAGGCTGCTGGTTCAATTCCCACATGGGCCAGTGAGCTGCAACCTCCACAACTAGGTTGAAAACAACGGCTTGGCTTGGAGCTGAGCTGCACCCTACACAACTAGATTGAAGATAATGACTTGACTTGGAGCTGATGGGTCCTGGAAAAACACTGTTCCCCAATAAAGTTAAAAAAAGGGGGGGATTAGAGAGTATATATTCAGATGGGGTAAAAATGAAATAACTAGTAGCATGTACTGGTAAAAAGAAAAAGCCTTTGGGATAGCAAAACCAGTGAAACCATCCCTTCTACAAGTATGAAATTATTTGGGTTATATGTTAAGTGTTGTTTGCTCAGTTATAAGCCATTAAGGGGTATTATGTGTCCTACCCACAGAGAGCCTATCACTGGCTTAGGGGTCAAAGGTGCCAGCCGTTGTCCTAGTTACTGTACCAAGTGAGAGTCTGGACAGGACCAGTGTTCAGAAGCCACAGAGGTGCCCTGCGGTAACTTTTGGAAATGGCAGTAGATCTCTGCTGATAAAAGCTTCACACACTTTTCATGCTTGCATCTTAAGACCTAAAACTGGAAGTTATTCCTAACCTACATTTGCCCAAGATTCATTTCACTAAGCCATTGTATTTTTGACTGCATGGGCCCACTGTCCATGGGGGTTTCTGAAGCATAGTTCAAGTGTGGTTGGTAGGATTTCTCTGCCCTCCAGGCAGGTTTCCTCTGCCACTGAACAATGCACATTCAAGGTCCCATTTTAAAACGGTTTTCCCTATCCCTACCTTTTTGGACATGCTAGAAGAATGTATTATACTCAATGTACTATACTCAATGAAAGAGAAAAGCTACAAAGAATGTGAATTTCAGGACCAAGCCAATCATGTCCTTGTGTTTACAGTAACGGGAGGCGGCTGGTTTTCACCCGTGGGAGAGCAACAGAGGGAGTGATTACCAGCACGGTTCTGGAGCCAGACGCCTGCATTGGAATCCCAGCTCTGCCACCAGCTGTGGGACCCTGTGCAAATTGCTTAACCTTTTGGCGC